CCCCCCAGATTTGCCGATCACGCATCTTCGTGCCTGCCAACGAGTGCACCCGGGTTGTTCCAATGTACCCTTCCCAATCAGCGATGTCACATTTACATTCTTTAGCGCAAAGTATGTACATAGCAACCTTCCTCCCAAAACATGTAATCCCTACATGCTTTGCCGACTATGTAACTAGTACATCCGGTGCGATTCGGCTAGCTTTCGACCTCTCCCCCTGGCCTCAAGTAGAATATTGATACATGATGATGCATGTCCACACAATGGTGGCACTTTGTTGGGTGATTCTCAGTGATTGATGCCCTCAAGGGAAAACGACGGGTGGAGTTTTATACTCCAGTAGTATGAGGAGTCTATATCACATGCATACATTCTCGGTATTGTTGGGGCATGACTACTACAGGAACAAGGACGCTATTCGCTACTAACCCCTTCCTCTTTGTGGGCGCGACCTGATGCGATCTTGCGACCTTACAGGGAGCAGTGAAGCGATGCGGCGCCAATAAAGTATAACTCCCAAACACCCCATGGGACTGGCATATTGAGGGGTCAATGGGGCGGCATACATGACATACATGGAGTGTTTGGGACGACTAACATTAACTAATTAACTGGTGTTATTTGACCAGGAGTCACCTTCGACGGGGTGGTTTTTGGTCCCATCCAGGGGCTGTGGTTGTGACAGGGGCACCCTTCTCCTTCAGGTCCGGCACCCCGTGGTAACATGAACTGACCCTGGATTCGCGGATCAGGTGATTTTGTTTTGTCTGCTGTACCGTGTTCTCCTGAAAGACGTGCCAAGCTTGATGTTTGTGTCATTTGGAGAAGATGATGAGCAGGTGAAGAATAACTTCACTTGTGCACGTTTGAAGTATACAAGAAACTTCCGGTTTGCCAGTCGTGCAAGTATTCGTCAAAGCCGTTCCTCAAACCTTCTCTTGCCTTGTGCAGGATGTGGTTTCCAGCCAAAGCTGCCACTTCCTGCAAACAGGACTCGGCTTCCGCAAGCATTACCCCTTCGAGCGAGAAGACGCAGAGGCAAACATCACCGTCGACAAGGAGAAAGGCATTTGCCTGGGCCATTTGTCCCAGCAGGACAGCTCGGTCTCCCAGGTCCGTCCGATCCGAAGGCTTTGGACCTGGGTTCCTGGCTTTGATAGGAGAAAGATGGAGCAAGGGTAGCTATAACAAGAAGCTACTAGGGGCTCCTGGCCTTACTAGTAGGAACAAGAAGCTAGTAGAAGCAAGTGCCTTACTAGTAGTAACAAGAAGCTACTAGGGGCTCCTGGCCTTACTAGTAGGAACAAGAAGCTAGTAGAAGCAAGTGCCTTACTAGTAGTAACAAGAAGCTACTAGGGGCTCCTGGCCCATATCCTCGGGTTCGGGTTACTGTAGACCCTCCGACTGCACCCACCCCAGTCCCACCGAACCGAAACGGAGGTGGTTGGAGCCGTGATTGAATACACACTCTTGAGGAACAACCCCGCCGTACCCCGCCATTGGAATTGGACATCCTTTTCATGTGGGGGGTTATTAGTCAAGAGTCTACCTCCCTAGGGCTCCAACCATCTCAGGAGGTGGGCCAGCAGCCCAAGGGATTAGTCAAGAGTCTACCTGATCATATTCCCAGACACTCCATGTATGGAATATATGCCGCCCCATTGAGCCCTCTGGCACCACCCCTGGCCTGATCGGCAGTCCTATGGCAGTCCCATGGGTCGTGTTTGGGTATTGGCTAGATGTTTCCACGGTCACTTTTCAGTCTGACAGATCCGACGCTTTCGTTGCTTCTGAGTCGTCGGCTCGTCGTGCTCGTCGTTTCATTACTTCGTTTCATGTGGACTTCCCTCGGTTTGCCCTAAAAGAGGTCCACCTGAAACCTGCAAAAACATCACTCCCAGAGACATCCAAAGACATCCAAAGACTAATGTAAAACCTGGTTCCCTTAACTGATTTTTGGTATGACCATCTCCAGTACAATGAGGTCTTTGACTTGTAGGGACTGGGTTGTAAAGGTTTCAAAGTTCCCACGTTCAGGTTTGTAAGGTGCCATGTGGGTCCGGGATCCCGCGGGGTTGGCTTTCTGAACCATCCGGTGGACACGTTTTTGGATGTTTTTGGGTCAACGCGTGGAGTGGAGGATTTGTCCACTCCAATTGCGGAACTTTCAGAAGCCTATGGTGAAGATGGCTGGTGCGTCTATGGTGCATTGGGGGGGTGGATTCGAGAGTGTGCCGTCAGCCGACGTACACACAACCTCAGCAACTTCCTAGATTTGTCTTTGGCTTTGGAACTGGCACAGATTTTCCGATGTTTGTTTGTCAGTGCATTTGCTGTCATGGTTCTCAGGCACTCCATGTATGCCGTATATGCCTACATTGGGGTGGTTTTGGGGGTCAATGTATAGCATTATGGCATACATGGAGTGTCTGGGGTTGGTTTCAATCACACGTGTGGTCTGGCACACTATGACTGTCTCCCGTGATGACCACGTGGACCAGGTTCTGGACGGGATACGTCTATTTTCTCAATGGACCACAGGCGACACCATACACCCTGACGTTGTTCGACAATCGGACGCTCACAATCCGGGATCACAGTTTTCCCTTGGATGATTTGTACTGCTTTGTGAACGGCTGGTACTCATTGGACCGAGCTGCCATTGTGGGGAACTTCAGTTACCTGGAAGAAGCTTCTGAAAAGGCTTGCAAGCACTTGGACGCCTAGCCAGTGAAGCAAATAGACAACTGTTCGTTTTTTCTGTGCTATTTTGTTTTCCTGATGTGATGCAACCGGTTGGGAAGTTCCAGCTAAAGCTTTTGGTTGAGGCAGGTTGGCTTTTGTTGCTCTGTGAATTGAAAAACCTCGGCCAGGAAGAGACGGTGCCAGGATACTTCAACATCAGCTTCTGGGTGGTTGTTTCATATTTTTATATATTTGCTTATTATACAATTCTTAAAACTTTACTTGATTCTACTTGGGATGTTTATCATCCACTCGTTCCCCCCATCTACATACAATTCCCTCGCGTTCATCGGTTGTTCACGTCTTCCTCAGGTTTCAACGACTTTGCCCGGGAGTCCGATGCCGATGAGCTTCTTCTGGAAACCTTGGCCCGCGAGGGCGGCGGTTTCATCTCCGAAGACGTGGTGAAGGGCATGCGGCTCCACGCTGCAACCAAGTGTCTCTTCAGAGGCCGAGACGCGAGACGCGAGGGGCGGACGAATTGGGGAGGTGGGGTTTGTAAGGCTGCATGACGTCAGCTGCAAGACAAGACTGTATGTTGGCAGATTTTTGGCTAAAACTTCAGGATGAAGGCTGAGTTGGTATTCTACATTATCCTACCCATGCAGTCAGTAGACCTGGCAGGTGGCGGTCGCGGTGCCGTGTGCGACTTGGCCAACTGTGCCGAGCGCGGCCGCCTTGGACCCAATAACGAGGTCTTGTACACCGTCCGCGGCGAATGTGAATCCGTTTGGGCAGATCGACCGGCCCTCGTCGGCAGCAGATAGCGTTTTTTTTGTTCCGACGTGGTTTTGGGCGGATGCATCCCAAACGAAAAGGAAGGGATTCCCTTCCAAAGATGGATTTTCATGGCAGTCCACACGGGCAGCGGCACGCGAAAAGAACTTGCGTTGCAAAGGCAGATGACTCCCGTGCTTTTGTTTCAGGAAGTGTTGACCACGGTGCCACGGCAGTCTCCGCGCCGTAGAATCTACGCGCGTTTTGCCGTGGAAGCACCGAAGACTCGTGCCGCTGAGGATAAAAGGGCCGCAAAGTCTGCAGCTATTTCCAACCATACTCCGGCTGTCTCTAGCCGTTTTCAAAGAACCAACTGCTCTACTAGGGGTTCTATAGCACTACAAAACCAGGTCAACCATTTGAATTGTCCTTGTTTTTTAAGGCTAGGGGTAAGGTTAAGATGGCCTTTGGGAAGACCTGTTCTACAAAGAGGAGGTGTTCCGCCATTCCAAATGGGAACCTTTTCCACGGAGCCTCTTGGCTGCGGTTCCGCTGTAGCAGCGGACCCCTGAACTTCAGTTCCCATCCATGGAGTGCACAACCTGAAACATCCATATCAAATCCCAAACACTCCATGTATACCATATATATATATGCTACATTGGGGTGGTTTGAGGGGTCAATGTAGGCAAATATTCCATACATGGAGTGTTTGGGAATAGTATAATAAGACGCCGTTTATATAATCTTGTTAGGATCCACATACCTTCTGAGAAGGTACTTAGACCCAAGCCTACATAAAATTGCCTCCAATCTCCACCTCACAGGTCATGTGGATCCGTAGGGGTAGACTATGACTGTTGATTAATAACTCCCACAGAACAGGCGAACGGCTGGACACTTCGGGAACTCACCATGAGCGACCATGAAGCACAGAGCCGGAGTCCGACGTACTGAAGGAGTCCGAGATGTTGAGATTCATTGTACTCCCCGACTCAGCACACTTTGACCTCACGTTCACGGAGTCCGGTCATGCATGAAAGCCGTTCTCAAACGCGGACTCAGTCTGCGCTTGTGCGGACTGGTCCTCGAGAGGGGAAGCAACATTGAGTTGTTTTATATTGCCCAGACACTCCATGTATGGAATATTTGCCTACATTGACCCCTCAAACCACCCCAATGTAGGCATATATGGTATACATGGAGTGTTTGGGTTGTGTTTTGTGTGGTCTTCTTCATCGTCTTGGTGAAAAAAGATACTGCGATCCACACGTCCACGCACTTGGACTCCGGAAACGCGGACCTCATCAGGACCTCATCAGTAATGCGAGTAGTAGGTGGATTTGCGGGTCTAAGCGGGATGTTGATGTTTTTTGTGGAAGTTTGTGGGTATAGTAGTTTGGTCGCTATAGTAGTTACAGTAGACTTCACGGTAGTGATTAAAACATCTAGATGTTGTTGCAATGTATTTTTGGAGTTTGCGGTAGAAAGCCGGCATTTTCAGAGAGAAACAGGCAAACTATGAAGTCCACATGCATTGCCAACGGGGCAAAAGACACTCCCGTGCTTCCACCAGCCGAACCACCCAGGTGGTGTCGTCACCGCCGCATATCTCAGCGACACCCTGGCGAGCATCGCCTGTGCAAGACGTTTGGATGAACGACGCCTCAACGAGACTGCAGACGAGACTGCAGGCGTGGACGAGACGGCACGGGTAACCAGCGCCGAGACGGGAGTATATCCCAGACACTCCATGTATGGCATATTTACAATTTACATTGTGGGTGGTTTCAGGGGTCAATGTAGGCATACATACCATACATGGCATGGAGTGTTTGGGTATTAAGACATCGTCGGGTTTGAAGGAAAGGCTCCTGGAACACCCGGCTGCGTACACCACCATTCTTTACGTGAAGGTGTGAAATGGGGGGGGAGACTTTCAGGAAACGGGCCCTCCATGGCAGGGGCCGGGCCTTTTCGCAAGGGTCCGGGCCATCAAAAACCCTTCCCACGGCCTGCTTGCGTTCCCAGTTGATCCCAGTGTCCGTGTTGTCAAAGTACCGGTGCGCCCAGTTTCCGTGTGTGGCCAACATGTTTGGAATTAACAACCGAAACGACCTTGCATGCATTTGCATGTTGAAAGCAGGTGGACAATCACTTTGACCCTCCAAAGTACCTCAGAAATTGGACATGCCTCCCCCGAAAAACAAGTTATACGTCGTCCCCATGTCTCTCAACTCTCTAGTAGCTAGTGCATTACTACTAGTAACAAGTGCGTTACTACTAGTAACAAGAAGCTACTAGTAATAAGTGCATCACTACTAGTAAC